CCCGGGGCGGCCTTCTCACCCCCGCCCCCTGCGCGGCCCCCGCCCCCCTTCGCTGCTGGCTGCTGTGGAGCTGGGATGTGGCCTGGGATGGGTGTCCCCGGGCACCCCTGGGGTGCAGGGTGGTGGGGAGGGGTGTCCTGACCCGCCTGCCCGGCTCTGACTGCTGCCAGCTCCTTACCCAGCCTCTCCTTTGCTAGCCCCCCCCGCCGTGGAGCGGCATGGGAGCTTGGCACCCCCTCTCGGCCAGGCCAGCCCCATCACCTCGGACGAGGAGTACCTGAGCCCCCTGGAAGAGTTCCCCGAGTCCGGCACCCCCCAGCACCGACCGGCCATGAAGCTGCAACCTAGAGCCGAGCATGGGGCTGCCCACGGCTCTCCGGAGAGCACCTTCAAGGCTGCACCCACCTTTGAGGTGAGCCGACACCCCCCCCGGGCCCTGGCAGAGGGGGAGCAGTGCCCATGACCACAGCCCAGTGGTGGTCCCCGGTGCCAGGAGGTGCCGGATCAGGCCTTCCTGCCCCCTGATCTGGGGTGCTCCTGGCACCTGGGCAGCTTCCACCCCACCAGCTCCCCTGGTACTGCAGGGCTGCTGTCATGCTGGGTGACACATAGCCCTGGGTGCAGAGGTGGGGTTGCATGGGCCTGGGTGCAGGCGGGTGCTCGCTGCTCTCTGACCCCTGCTTCTCCAGGTGTCCCTGTCGGACCAGTCGGTGCTGGAGGGGCAGGATGTCAGCATGAGCGTCCGCGTCCGTGGGGAGCCCAAGCCCATCATATACTGGTGAGTCCTGGTGCTTGCTGGGTCACAGCTGGGCAGGGAAGGAGGGGACAGGCATGGTGACCTCCCCATTTGGGGATGGCCAGCTCAGAGCTCTGATGCTGAGCAGGGTTGGGTTTGGAGGAGCGGGGTCTTTTGGGGACAGCCAGGCTGGGCATGCAGGGCCAGGCGTGACCATGCCGCTGTGCCCATGTCCCGAGCAGGCTGAGAAACCGGCAGCCGGTGAAGTACGGCCGTCGGCACCACGCAGAGGAGGTGGAGGGGGCACGGGGGCTCTTCACGCTGCACATCCTGGCGGCGGAGCGCACCGACACCGGCTTCTACACCTGCAAGGCCGTCAATGAGTACGGCACCAAGCAGTGTGAGGCCAAGCTGGAGGTCAGAGGTAAAGCTCCCCGAATGCGTCCTCGCTGGCCCCAAGGGGCCAGCTGGCTCCAGTGCCCTGCATGAGCTGTGTGGGGAAGGGGCCACTGCAGACCCCTCCTTGGCGGTGCTGTGGGAGAAGGGGGCGAGCCACCCTGCCCTTCCCTGCCGCAGCGCAGGTGGGTGCAAGCTGGGAGCAGGAAAGTGGAGCTGCGTGCCTGGGGCTGCCCTGCTGCCCCGTCCAGATGTGTGGCCCCATGGCCCTGGGTCCCACTGCCCAGCTGTGCCAGGGCCCCCGCTGGCCGGACCCAGAGCCTGCTGCTCCCCGCAGCCCAGCTTCACCCCACATCCCTCTGCCCCCCCACGTGCCCACTGCTGGGGCTGGGTGCTGCCCGTGCGCAGGGAGGGCTTTTGCCCTTGGTGGCCCTGCAGGGGACATGTCCCCCCACCATGCCGTGCTGACAGCTCCCTCCCTCCCTGTCCCAGGCAGCCTGCAAGCTGTGTGCCAGGCATAGGGCAGCCTGGAGAGGTCCCCCTGACCCGTTTCCAGCAATAGCCCATATGCATGGGACTGGGCTGTCCAGCCCCCTTCCCTTGCCGTCCCTCCCCAGCCCTGCTGTGGTCCTCCTAGGACCCCAATATATACGTGCAAATGTGGGGGGGCTTGGGACTGATAGCCAGGCTCTGCCTGGCATCCCCCGAGGCCAGGGAAGGAGCCTGCGGGGACGAGTGATGCTGCCTCCCTCCTCTTGTCCTTCGCTGTGTGTGCCCTGCTCCCCCCAGCCCTCCCCGCTGACGGCTGCCTGAGCCCCCTGGGCTGCACCCATCCCGCCCCGGCCTTGGCTGCACTGCTTGTACCCTGCTAGGATCCCGCTCCCAGCCTCCAGCAAAGCGCAGCGGCACGGGGGTGGGAGCGGGAGCCAGCCCCATGCCCCACGGCCGGCAGGAGCTGGGCTGCAGGGGCGACGGCCCAAGCCCCGGCCCCTCTCCGGGGGCTCGGTGGGTGGCTTCACGCCTTGGTGCACACTCACACCCCTCGTGCCGGCGCTGGTGTATGCGTGCGTGCGTGCGTGCCGGCCCCGTCGCTGCTGCACTAACCCTTCCGCTTGCTGACTGCGGTTTTTGTCTGTACGCAGGGGGAGTACGATAAGGGGGTGCATCTCTCAGAGCCGCGGCCACGGGGCTCTTAGTTGGACACCTCTTAGGCAGTGGACCTCACCTTGTGTTATTACCTTCTGCTCCATCCGCCGCCTCGTCCTGGACGCACCGCGGGGATGCGCGGGCCCTCGACTGCGGGCAGGGGCTCGCCGGATAGCTGGGGGAGGCATAACCAAGGCAGGGCGGGGGGAGCAGCGGGGAGCACCAGGCACCCCCTCAGCCGGGCCAGGGCGGCCGTATGATGCTGTCTTGTCTCTTGCTCCGCCCGTTTGTCCCTGTCTGCGTGTCCTGCTGCTCCTCTCCTTGCTGCCCAGGGAAGGGGAGCAGGGAGCTGAGCCCACGGTCGCTGCCGTGCCGGCCGGGGCTGTAGGGAAGGGGCTGCGGTGTGGTGGCAGCTCTGCAATGGTCACCTTGGAGCGTGGGGGATAGGAGACCCCGGGGACCCCCATGGGGGAGCACCCTGCCCCAGCTGCAGGGCGGGAGGGAGAGCATTGGCCCCTTTGGCTTCGTGGCGGCCACCCAGGTACTGTCCGGGCCACCGCGAGATGTCCCTCGCAGCCCCAGGGCTCGGGGTCCGCCCAAGAACCCTCTGGCTCTGGGTCTCTTCTCCCCGGGGAGGGGGCTTGGTGGGAGGGTGGGCTGCGAGGCCGTGACCCTTTTTTTTTGTAGTTCTAATAAAATCTGTTTGGTAAAGCGCTGTGTGGTGTGTTCCTGGCACGGACACCTCCCCTCACCCCCGGCCCCCTCCCTGGCTCAGCTCTGCTTTCCACATCTCGACCCCCTCCTGCCCTTCCCTGCTGCACTCCCTGCCCGCCGCACCGGGCCCCCTCCCCGCATGCCCCCCTTTCCCCGCCCGTTT